CTGGTGCTTAGGATCCTGGAGGGAGTTTGGGAGACCACAAGGGGCTGGCTGTGTGCCCTCGGCAACATTTCTTCCCTACCCCGAGCCTCAATTTCTCCATCTGTAGACTATCAGGCCTGGTCCAGGTGAGGCTCCTGTTCTGGCCCCGCCCTGCAGCCTGCCTGGCGCCTGACACACTCAAACACACACGCACGCACACGCACGCACGTGTTTCTGTCCCTGATTGGCAGCACCTCCCTAGCCTGCTCTTCGTTTCTCTGTCTCCACACTGCAGACCCGTCAGCAGGTTCTGGAAACTTTGCTTTCAAAATACATTCAGCACCCCACCACTTCACCATCACAGGGTCCACACAGCCCAGCCCCTCCGTCACCGGGCACTGCTCTCACCGTCGCCCCTACAGTCTTTTTCCTCTGTGGCAGCCAGGGTGATTCTCTTTACACCTAAGTCAGATCAAGTCCCTTGCCTGCTCTTAAGCCTGAAGTGGCTCCTGATTTCACCCCGCCCCCCAGGGCACTGACTCTGCTCCAGCTACACTGGCCTCCATGTCCCTCCTCAACACACCAAGCTTGTTTGTGCCCCAGAGCCTTGGCACTTGTGGTTACTTCTCCTTGGAACATTGGTCTTCTGCTCAAAGGGCACTTCATCAGAGCCCTCCACCCCGATCACCTCCTCCACCTCCTCTTGTCCTGCTTCATGCTTTTTCAGGATACCTGTCAGGACTTATCTACATGTTTGTCAAGTTGGTGTCCGTCTCCCTTGGTGAGAATGGGGACCTTGCCGCCTCCTCAGCCTCTCTCACAAGGCCTGGCACGTACTGGGTGCTCAAGAAATACTCTGGCCTCCCAGATGAGACCTCCCAGGCCCCGATGCAGGGGCCCTGTGGGTACAGAGCAGGTCAGGCCAGACAGCACATGCCCAGCGGAGGAGCCACTGGCAGCTCGCTCCACCTGCCTGGCACATAAACAACGGCTAGTTCCAGCTCAGGCCCTGTGGGTGGAAACCGGCTTCCAGGGCGTGAACAGTGGAAGGGCCCGGGACGTGAGGAGTGGGGGAGCGGGTGGTTGGCAGGAAGTGTAGGGAGGTGAGGCCTGGACCACCCACCCTGGACTGGGGTTGTATCCAGAGGGCAATGGGGAACCACTGAAGTGACCTTTGTGCCGCGGGGTGGGGGTTCGAGATCCACAGCACCGGATCTTGTCACACCCACCCCATGACTTCGCACTGCATTTAGATTCAGTGTCCCCACTGTGGCCCCGCATGCCTTGTCCCTCCTCCCCTTGTGCCTCTCCAGTCCCGGCTCCCTGGTCACGCTCTGGCCACACTCCTTCTCCCGTTTGGCCTTTGCCCTTTCTGTCCTTCTGCCTGAAACACTCGTTCCCCTGACCGTTGCAGAGCTGGTTCCTCAGCTCAGCTCACTAGTTACTGCTTCAGCCTCCTTCCCTGACCACCTCCCTCTGGGGGTGCAGAGGAGGGCTGGGGGCCCGGGGCCTGAGTGCAGGCAGCCCGGGCTGGTGTGAGGCTTCCTCCTGCTCCTGCGCCCTGCCCTGGCCCTGCTGTCTCTCGGAGGGTGTTTTGATCTCGTTCCTTACCCTCTTGGGGACGCATGATCTCCAGCACTTTCCTCCTGGTCTCTCCAAGGACTCCCTGCGTCTTTTCCCCAAGGGGGCCCCGTCTTAATGGTTCCTCCTCTGCTGTCCCCAAAGGGACTTCCGCCCTCTTGCTTCTCCTCCCATCTTCTCTGGCCTGCTCTCGGGAGGGGTCCACCCTTGTTCCCACCTCTGGCAGCAGCCCTCAGCGAGCGTGTCTGTCAGGAAGTGCTTCAAAGTCGGGACTTCCTGTCTCTCCCCTCCTGTGCCCCTGAGCACCAGACTTGGCACTCCAGTGACACTGCCCGGTCGAGTCACAGTGCCCAGTCCAGTCAGTCACAGGGCCCGATCCAATCAGTCACAGAGCCCGATCCAGTCAGTCACAGGGCCCGATCCAGTCCACAGCCCGATCCAGTCCACAGCCCGATCCAGTCCACAGCCCGATCCAGTCAGTCACAGAGCCCGATCCAGTCAGTCACAGAGCCCGATCCAGTCAGTCACAGGGCCCGATCCAGTCCACAGCCCGATCCAGTCCACAGCCCGATCCAGTCAGTCACAGAGCCCGATCCAGTCAGTCACAGAGCCCGATCCAGTCAGTCACAGGGCCCGATCCAGTCAGTCACAGAGCCCGATCCAGTCAGTCACAGGGCCCGATCCAGTCCACAGCCCGATCCAGTCCAGTGCCTGACCCAGTCACACTGATGCTTTCTTGCTAACCCTCAGGTCTCAGGAAATATTCCTTCTTCAGGACCCACCTCCTGAGGCTGAGGGTCAGCTTGGTCAGGTGGAAAAGAACCCAGCACTGAGAGGAGACCTGGGTTCGATTCAGCCTGTCCTGCTAACAACAGTGTCACCTCTTTCTGAATCTCAGTTTTGTTATATGTAAATTAGGGGCAGTACAAACTGGCCTCTCTGGCTCTTGATTGTGAAGACCTGAACCTGTCACAGGGCAGGACTGTGCGCCAGGCTGACGGCACAGGTGTGAAGGGCAGGGTGTGTGTGCCTTCCCCAGTCAGGACTGGCAGACGTGGCTCATGGCCCGCCTCTGTGCCTGTGGCTGAACCAGGACACAGCCCTGCAATCTTTTCTTTCTTTTTTTTAGTTGCAGAAAAACTCACATAACATACAAGAAACCATTTTAATGTGTACAGCTCAGTGGCATTTCGAGCATTTACAGCGTTGCATAACCATCACCTTGCTCTAGTTTCAAAACCTCATCACCCCATGAAATATCCTGTGCCTATTAGGTAACCACTCCCCATTCTCCCCTCCTTGTACCCTGGTAACTCTGGTCGCTTCCTGTCCCTGTTATGGATATAGTACATAAAAGAAACCATATAATGTTGACGTTTTCTGTATGGCTTCTTTCACTTTTTTCACTTATTTTAAGGTCCATTTGTTTGGAGCATGTGTCAGAGCCATGGTCCTGTTTGTGGCTGAATAATATTCCATTGTTTGGATATGCTGTCACTTGCTTCTCCATTCATCCATTGGACATTTGGGTCAGAATCCTGAACACAGAGAATCGTGAACAGTGGTCTCCTGCACTCCTGCAGGAAAAATGTTTGAATCAATCCTTCCATTAAATGTAGTCTTACTTGTTCTACACGTAATTACTACTACACTGATATATCCAATACATTATAAAACCCATGTGAAGTGTAGACATCTTAGAAAGATTCGATTTAAAACAATAATACTATTTTTCATATTTTCTCCCACACCTGCCCTGGACTCACTAGCTGTCCTGGGTATCAGCTGAGTATGGAAGTATGTCTGGCTTATACTGAAATCGTAGTTTTTTGTAGAACAATTGTAAAGCAAAGGGAAGTGGAAAATGGTTGATAAAAATCCCCTCCAGCCGAGGCTCGGCCTTCTTGCGTGTGTGTCCGTGGGTCTGGGCCTCCTCATCCTCAGCGTTTCAGGGCAGGCAAGAGACAGGAGGACAAAGCGTGAATTTGAGTCAAGCCCCTGGGTTTGAAGCCAGCTCTGCCACTGACCAAACATCACTGTATGACGCTGGGCACATTTACCAATACCTGCACCTTAACTGCCTCATCTGCAAAATGCCAATGCTACTGATTTTGTATCAGTTAGCAATTGCTGGGTAACAATTGGCCCCAAAATATAGTGGCTTAAAACAACAAACATTTGTTATCTCACAGTTCCTCTGGTCAGGAATCTGCTTAGCTAGGCGCCACCGCCTCAGGGTCTGTCACAGGCTACAGTCACCATGTCAGCCAGGGCTGTGGGCTCATCTGATGGCTAAGGGTTGATCCATATTCAAGTTCACTTACGTGGTGCCTGCAGGACTCACTTGTTTGTGGGCTGTTGGAGTGAGGGGCCTAGTTCCCTTCTGGCTGTTGACTGGAGGCATCCCTCAGTTCCTTGCCAGGGAGGCCTCTCCACGAGGCAGCTTGAAACACGGCAGCTGCTTCCATCAGAGTGAGCAGGCGAGAGGGGCCAAGAGCCACAGCCTTTGTAACTTCCTCGCAGAAGTTGTATCCCATCACTTTCTGCCATATTCTGTAGCAAGTCACTAGGCCCAGCCCACAGTTCAGGGTGTGACTATCAGGAGGTGACATCAAGGGGCCATCTTAGCTGGCTGCAACTGAACTAAAATAGACCTGTTGGGCCCAGCCTGTGTGGCTCAGTGGTTGAGTGTTGACCCTGCACCAGGAGGTCACTGGTTCGATTCCCGGTCAGGGCACATGCTTCAGTTGTGGGCCAAATCCCCAGTGGGGGGCATGCAGGAGGTGGCCAGTTGATGTTCTCTTACATCAATATTTCTCTTTCTCTCTCTCCCTTCCTCTCTCTCTAAAATCAATAAAGAAAAATAAAATAAAATAAAATAGACTTGTTGGGGTGGTTAAATGCACCCCGTGTAACTCACTGAGGGTGGTACAGGTTGCCCTGTAATTGGTAGGATTGTGCCTGGTGTTATTTTTCATTCATCACTCCTTCCCCTTTTAGGGCCTGGACTACAGGGAAGGGTGGGACTGCAGATAGACCCCGGGGGGCCGGAAGTGTGGGGGAGTGGGCGAGACTCCAGAACAACCCATGGCTCTGTGGAGGGAGGGGGTGGCGATGGAGGTGGAGGCTTAGCAGGTTCACCACCCAGGTGTCAGGACCCAAGAAGACCTCTCCGGACCTGGTTGGCATAGGTGGGCCACATCTGTACTGAGAGGGTTCTCAGTGCTTGGGGCTGAAGGTGGAAGCAATTGACCCTGCCCTGTTGTGTGACCCCAAGCAAGTTGCCCTCCCTCTGTGGGCCTCCCCTTTGAAATGCCTGCTGTTTGGGGTGAAAGGGCTCACAGAAAGGCCGGCAGCAGTCCGAGAGGTGTTGGTGGGCAACTGCCCCCCTCCCCGGGCTGGGCCTCATGTCTCCCCCGGCCCCTCCCGGCCCTCTTCAGGTGTTCTCCATCGTGGTGTTTGGCTCCATCGTGAATGAGGGCTACCTCAACACCCCCTCGGAGGGCGAGGAGTTCTGCATCTATAACCGCAACCCCAACGCCTGCAGCTACGGCGTGGCCGTGGGCGTGCTCGCCTTCCTCACCTGCCTGCTCTACCTGGCCCTGGACGTCTACTTCCCGCAGATCAGCAGCGTGAAGGACCGCAAGAAGGCCGTCCTGTCCGACGTCGGTGTCTCGGGTGAGCCCCCGCCCCAGAGGGCACCCCTCCGCACAGCGGAGCCTGCGAGGGCTGTCCCAGCCCTGGTCCCGTTAATCCTCGTGCACACCTATGAGACGGGCGAAGAGACGGGCTTGGGGTCACCTGGTGGCCAGGGAAGGGTGGCACCAGTGCCGGCGTGCACCCCAGAACAGCAAGAGCCGCGCAGCGGGGAGGGCAGCGCAGCATTCAGGGGAGCCTCTCTAATCGGCGAGCACCTCCCTGCTGGGCCCCCTGAGAACTAAACAGCAGGTGACTGAAGGCCTGGCACACAGCTGGCCTGGAGAGGGGCAGAACCTGGAGCTGGGAGCCTAGGCGCCCAGCTGCCCTTGCCCTTCAGAAGCGGCCTTGGCAGAGTATCCTGACCTCTGTCGCATGAGTTTGGAGAATCTGATTGGTGGAGGTGTAGGTTAAGAGTCAGTAAGACTTCAGCTCGATCGCTAGCCTAAGGCCATGGTCTCAGGTCTGGGGCAGAGACCTCCCCCCATTTCCAGGCCTGGGACTCAGGATGGGCCTGGCAGCAAGGTCTGGGGCCCCTTAGACTTGAAGGAACTAGAACAAAATTAATAGTTCTCAGACTTAGTTCCACAGAGCCCTAGAATTCCCCAGCAGTGCCTCTCGTAGGGGGCTGGGCTCTAGATACCCCATCCGCCGGGCACACACATGCTCTGTCTGAGCAGCTCTGGGCCTCTCTGGATAGACCGGGGTACCACAGAAGATCTGGTTACCACAGGGCTCCCACTGCTGAACTTCCCAGACCTTGGCCCCAAAGGCCCCCTCACCGACTTTGGGGACCTTGATGAGGCCACAAGCACATTAGAGGTCGAGGCTAAGACCCACTGGGGTTGAGCCACACCCTTGTCCTAGCCCCCTCACATTCCCCCTGACCAGTTCTCGGGGTGAGGGGGTGTCGGGGTACTCCTCCCAGAGCTGCAGGCCTCAGGGTAGATGGTGGGCCAGTTGGGGACAGCTGGGAAATCCGTGTTTGGCTGACATTAGAAAAATGCCAGCCCAGACTGATTGATTTTTTTCTGTTTCTCCCTTCCTCCTTCCCTCCCTCTCACTGCCCCTGGCTCTCCCTGGGCCTTTGCTGGATCCTTTCCATGATCTCTCTCCGGCTGTGCGTCTGACTGACCCTCTGTTCGTGCCTCACCTTCCCTGTGCCCCTCCTTGGGGGTGGGGAGAGTGGGCGATCTCGAACCTCTCCCTGTTCCATGGCTCCCCATTTCCTCCCAACTCGCCTTCTTTCCCCATGCATGGACCCTTCTGCCTGACCCTGGTGGACACCCAGCCTTCTGGGCCTTCCTCTGGTTTGTGGGTTTCTGCTACTTGGCCAACCAGTGGCAGGTCTCCAAGCCCAAGGACAATCCACTTAACGAAGGGACGGACGCAGCCCGGGCTGCCATCGCCTTCTCCTTCTTCTCCATCTTCACGTGGGTGAGTACACCGCCTGCCCAGCTGGCTGCGGGCCTGTGGGCTCCAGTGCAGCCAGGAACTTTGTTCCACGTCTGTCCTTGATGCCACGGCGGGGCTGCTCCGAGGGAGACTGTGACATTGCCAGAGAGGACAGTTGTGTGGTGCCAACAGACCCTTGCTTGGTGCAGAGCACCCACAGTGGCTGGGTGGTGGGCATTCAATATCCTCTTTTTTGTTTGTTTGTTTTTAATCCTCACCCAAGGACATTTTTCCACTTTTTGTTCAGATAGAGCGGGAGGGAGAGAGAGGAAGAGAGAGAGAGAGAGAGAGAGAAACATTGACATGAAAGGGACACATCAAGTGGCTGCCACCCGCACAACCAACCAGGGCCGGGGACAAACTGCAACCGAGGTACGTGCCCTTAGCGGGAACCGAACCCAGGTCTCTCCGGACCGCAGGCCGACGCTCTAACCGCTGAGCCAAACTGGCCAGGGCAATTCACTGTCCTCTTAACAGGTGAGAACACCAGGCCTGCACAGGAAGGGGAGCCTTGAGGTTTTATGACTGGGAAGCCCAGGCCTAGGAGTCAGGGGACCTGGTCACACCTTGGAGCTGTCTCTAATTTTCCGGGCCTGTGTCTCCCCATCTATAAAATCGGGAGATTGGGTTTGGGAGAGGGTGTCACAAACTTAGCTGCCCACCTGGCAGGCACAATGCGAGAAAGCGGTGGCAGCCCAGGTGGCATGTCCATGCCTGTCCTGAAAGGGTACCTTCTCCTCGACCCCTGAAGTAGGAAAGGGACCTACAGAGGCCAGGTCTTCCGTTTTCCAGAAAAGCCAGCAATCTGAATTTCTATGTGAAATCGGATCTTCATGTGTTAGCAAGTTATTCAAGTTAAAGAAAAACACCACGCGGGTCAAGGAGAGCATGTCTGTGCACGACTGGCCTGGAGTGGCCACCAGCCTGGCAGCAGGACTGCCCCTGGGATTGAGCTGCCAGGTCATCTAGTTTATTTCTCTCCTCCCTCCCTGCTGCTGGTATCCGGGTCACTTGGCTCTCTTGCCCTAAGGCTTCTCCTCCAGGCCCTCCAGCGGTCCTTGGCCCCTGTGCCCCGCCCTCCTGGGCCTGCCCTGGGGCAGCTTCTCTGTTGGTGTCCCCTGGGTATTCACACTACTTGGGAGCTGGAGTTTGGAAGAGGAGACCTGTGGTTCAGGCCCCCGCAGGCCAACATGGTCACTTTAGAGCTCTGTCCTCAAGGCTTGGAGGAAAAACCAGGTGACCTGGGTAGCTCAGACCAGAGAAGGGTCCCTGAAAGTGGGGATCATCCAGTCCTACAGGGAAGAGTTTGGGAGCAGCAAGCCCTGAGGTGGGGTGGAGCTCACAGAGGACTGGGTAATTGACACTAGACTTTCAGAGGAGGGGTAGGTGCCCCCAGCACGGAAGCCTGCCCCCCTGCTGGCACCTCTGCCTTTCCTAGCTCTTCCCTGCTGGCCTCACCCCTACTCTCTCCTGGCAGAGCCTGAGCGCAGCCCTGGCCGTGCGGAGACTCAAGGACCTTACCTTCCAGGAGGAGTACAGCACACTGTTCCCCACCTCGGCTCAGCCGTAGGCCTCCCGGCCTCCAGAGGCAGGGAGCCCTGTGTCCTGCCCATGGCGAGGATATGGGGGCAGCCTGCTGCCAGGAACGGCCAGGAGCCAGGGCATCCAGGGCAGTGGAGGGCTGGCCTAAGAGGCCAGTTAAGACCTGCCAGCTATTCGTTGTCTCTTGTTTATTCTTCATGTGTTCATTCATTCAGTAAACATTTATTGAGCAGCTGTTTTGTGCCTAGTGATAAATCAGATGGGGTCCCTGACCCCAGGAGCTCATAGGCTGGGAAGAGGAGACGGACAAACTGAACTCTCCCCCAGGTGGACTGCCATGGGCTGTTGAGGGTTGGTGGTGGCTCCATATGTGGCTGCCAGGGTGCTGAGCCATGGGCACAGTGTGAGAGCCCGTCCCACAGCTGTGGCATGAACGCTGATCTCACAGTCCCAGTGGTGGCTGGCTGCCAAGGGAGGCCTGGCCTGGCTCTGCTCTCGTGTGCTGTGTGACCCTGGTCAAATCCCTGCACCGCTCCGAGCCTCAGTCGAATTCCCTGGATTTAGTAATAACGGACCAGCCTCTCAGGGCTGTTGTACGGATGAAACAAAGACTGGCACAGAGATGCTCAATAAATGTAGGCTCTTTTCTTTTTTCATTTATCCACTCATTCTGTTCAAGGCGTCAGGGACACTTCCATAGTCTCAACCTTGGGATGATTCTCATGTGGTGAGTCCTTGTTCTTCCAAAGGATTTTGGCCTCCAATTCTGTACAAGTTCCCTCCTTGGGGCCCTCAGTTGCTTGGGCAGGAACCCACCTATCCTCCCACTTTCTGCAGGAGTTGTAGAGTTAATGGAGCACAAACAGGCCCCAGAGCAGAGCACATGGAGTGAGCTTCCTGACACTGGAGGCATACAAGTGCAGGCTGCTTACAGCACGGTGGAGAGGCTTAAGAGTGTACCTGATCTGAAGAAGCAGGGCCAAGTGGACCTCCAGGTTCCTGGGCTCGGAGCAGAACTCCCAGCCTCCTTTCTACACCCCAGAAGGGGCCCACATCCCTCCTTTGCTCCGGTCATGTGGCCCCTTGAATTGGATAGCTAGGGAGGCCTTGACTCAGTGAGGGCAGAGGTGTGCCCACGGAGTTCACTAGGTGCCAGGGAGCTCCAGGAGAACCAGGTCTGCAGATGTTTCTCTCAGGGACTCATTCATTCATGCCCTTTGTGCTCTTGTGGGCTTGCCAATGACTCAGGGTGCTGAAGGCAGGCTGCTACCCCAGGGGGCTTTTCCTCTCCCTGCTTCTCCAGGCTCCTGCATCTGAGCCTCCAGCAGCCAGGACCTCAGACCAGCAGAGTAGAAAATACAGAAGGGCCCCACCCGGTTTCCTCAGCCAGCTGCTCTAGGCCTGCCTCTCCCAGGCCCCGGCCCTGCTTCGAACAGCCGCTTCCCAGGAAGGGCTGCCCCTCAGAGCTTCCTCCGCTGACACTCATCGAAAATTCATGCGTAGTCACTGGGCTTCTGGAACTTTCTGAAATTAAACATCAAGCACCTGCCTCATACCTGATGGCCCTTTTGGGTTCCTGGCTGATTTGGTGCCTTGTCAGGGCGTTGATCAAAGGGAAGGAGGTGGAGAGGGCCCTGGCCTGGGAAGGTGTTTTCGGGTCTGGGTTCTGGCACTAACTCTGCCTTGAGGGCTCCCTTCTCTAGGCCTCAGTCTTCCCAGCTCAGAGGGGTTTGTGGGGTATGAGCCTGTTCCCATCACAGGCAGATGACCTGGGCTGGAGAGGCTTTCAATGTCAACCTGTAAACTATGTTATCATGACAGATTTAACTTACTCCCCAGCCTGGTGTGGTCAGTGTCATTGTCCTTAATAACAGTATAGTTGCTTTTACTGAAAAATTTCCCGCCTATGCATGGATACCAGAGACAACTTTTTCCCAACTTAAAAAAAGGGCTTCAGTGGTCAGATAAGGCTGGTGAATGTGGCTTGTAGCGTCCCCTTCGGGATCCCAGTGTACATTAACTGGTCATGGCTCTCACAAGCCCTGTGGTCCTGAGACTTGTCTCACTCCGTATAACTCACTTTCCCAAGCTTGTTAGACCAAATTGTTTCCGTTAGAACTAGGTTCAGCAGCAAATGACAGAAATCGCAAATAACAGTGGTTTAAACGAAGTCCAAGTCCGGGAAGACAGTCCAAGGCTGGCATAGTGTCTCCAGAAGTTTTTAGTGACCCAAGCCTCTTTCATCCCTACAGTTTGACTCCTGGACCTCATGGTCCATCATAACAACTAGAGCTCCAGCTATCACATCTGCATCCCAGGCATCAGGTCAGAGGATGAACAAAGAACTTAGTTACATGGCTGCACCTAGCTGCAAGAGAGGGAATGAGTTTAGATGGCAACAGTTCTCTGTCCCACCAAGGAACGTTATTTTCCCCATTCCACATAACATTCTGAGAACACAGTTTGAAAAGAAGTTGTGGGCCTTTGGACCATTTCAACACTCCACAGTGGACACGAGAGTTTTTGGTGGCCCAGGTGATCTCTGGGATTCGGGGACAAGGGGCAGGTGACTTGTGAAGTTCTGTCCAGCGGACGGTGTGGTGCCTCTCACAGGCTGGCTGCGCGGGCAGCTCTCCTTCCCACCGGGCAGCTGGGTTCATCTCGGGTGCCGCGAGGATATTTAACCCTCTGTTGTCTGTGTCTGGTGAACTAACCTCCACTAACCCGGTGCTCTTGTCTGTCTCTCCCCTAACCATCCCCTCCTGCCCGTCCTCGTCCCCACTGGCCCTCGTCCCCAGGCAGGCCAGGCTGTGCTGGCCTTCCAGCGGTACCAGATTGGCGCCGACTCGGCCCTCTTCTCCCAGGACTACATGGACCCCAGCCAGGACTCCAGCATGCCTTACGCCCCCTATGTGGAGCCCAGCGCCGGGCCAGATCCCACCAGCATGGGTGGCACCTACCAGCAGCCAGCCAACGCCTTCGACACGGAGCCCCAGGGCTACCAGTCGCAGGGCTACTGAGCCGAAGTGACCGCCTCTTCCTCTCCCCACCTCTTCGCCCCCGCCTGCCCCTGCCCCTGCCCCCGCCCCCTGCCCCCTCCCTCCACACCTACCCCTGCTCCCTCCCAGGCTACCCTGCCCAGCACCTCATCAGCCTCCCGGTGGTTCCGCTGAGGTCCAGGGCAGCCGGGTGGGACGGGCAGTGAGGAGTTACAGGGGTCTGTCTACATGTGTGTGCACGTGTGTCCAGCAGGAGCCTGGGGTGTTTGCGTTCATTCATCGTGTCATCGAGCAAGTCAGTGAGCACCTGCTGTGTGTTCAGCCCACGCTTGACATGGGTGTGAAAGAGAAATGGTCTCTGGGAAAGGGGAGGACAGACATGGAGGAGGCCCTGTGGGTGCCAGAGGTCGGGATGGTGGGAAACAACTGGGGTGCTGCTGGGAAGGTTTGGCTGCAGGCTAAGTGTGAACACCCACAAACCCTGTTCCACACCTACCCCTGGGGGCTGTCTCCTTTTTATGTCTGTGGAAACAGGCCTGGAGAAGTCAGAGTCACTTGTCCAGGGTCACTCAGGCAGCCAGTGATGGAGGTAGGGCCAGGCCTAGGCTGCCTGACTGCAGAGCACCTGCTGTCCCCAGTGCCCCCCAGCCCCCATCATCTGGGAGGCCTTGGGGACCTCAACCAAGACACCCTGATTCTGCTGCAAGATGGGGGCCGCTGTTCCCCAGCGACAGCCCTGTGTCCGTCCCTCTCCCCACACCCCGCGGGCCCCTCCCGGGGTGGGGCCCCTGCATACCACTGTGCTGTGTGTGTCCCGCTGGGAGCTCAGACCTTCCGGGGGCTTCCCAAAGGACTGACCACTGTCCCTGCCTCTAGGAGAGGCTCACCGAGACCCGGCCCATAGCTGGGTGGGTAAGGAGGCCAAGGGGAGCGGCTGGCGGCTGGCCCAAGGTCACAGTGGGCGCCCAAGGTCACAGTGGGCAAGTGGCAGAGCTGGGCTTGCTGCCGGGGCTTCTGGCCCAGCTGCCCAGCAGGTGTCCCAGTTCCCTGCCCTTAGGGCCTCCCAGGAAACAACCGATCTGCCACGTTGTCTCAGCTTTCCCTCCTCTGGGGTCCGCCAGGGTCCTAGGGGATCTAATAGCCAAGGGAAAGGAAGGTCCTTCCCCTGCCTTTCCAGAGGCCCACCGAGGGCTGGTCTCCCTGCGGGAGGCTGAGTAGAGAGGACGAGGGCTCTGGACCCCAGCCCTGGAGCTGCTGCATGATACATCTGCCCCAAGATGAACTTGAGCCCCTGGTGTGTGGTGGGCTTGGGGAGGCCACAGGCTATGGAGGAGAGGGTAGCAGGTATCCCCAACATACAAGGAAGATTGCGGGGCTATTGCACAAGGTGGGCTCTTCATTGAGCCTTAAGGGACAGGGGCCTTGAACAGCGGGGAGATGAATGGGAAGCCCTGGGGCCAGTGCCTTGGAGCCGGGCAAGGGAACCGTGGGTCGCCAAGGTGCTGGGTGTTCTTACCACCAGCACCCCATGCCCACACAGGAGCCCAAAGAGGCAGGTGGTGTTGAGCAGTTATGGGGCACCTGTGCTGGAGAGGAGCTGACCATCCGTCCGAGATGAGCACTAACCCACACCTGGACGGGTGCACGCGTGCTGAGTCTCCCCAGCAGGGTCCCAGGGGTGGCAGGAGTCAGCACAGCAGTGAGGGAAGGAGAAGGAGCTGCCTAGGCAGAGAAGTAGCATCATTGTCCTCACTTAACAGAAGCGGAGAGTGAGGCTCAGAGAATGTGAGTTAGCGTGGGGCGTGGATTCTAACTCCGATCTGTTCAAGTCCCCCCAACGGGCAGCAGCGAGGGGAGTGGACCCCAGACGGCTGAGCAGCAGCTGGTTGCTGACCAGTTTTCCACATCTGAGGAAGGGTTGTCTCCCGCTGGGTGCCCAAGTGGGGCCAGGATGGGGCCACGGTTCTGCCAGGCTGTACCAGACCAGAGGTTTTCGGAGCAGACGAGGGGTGTGGATGTTTCTGGCAGAAGTTCTGTGCCCATGCAGGAGGCTGTGAGAAGTCCTTCCCCTCGCCCACTCCCCACCAAAGACCTCCCCTTCTGATGGGCACTAGGAGACCCCAGGGTGCTGCCCAGTGTTCTCCCGGAGCACCAACCAGCTCTGGTGATGCTGGGCTGGAGGGCAGGGTACGTTTAAGCTTCGCCCAGTCCCTGGGTGCTTATTGCAGACTCC